AATACAAAAGAGAAAAGTTTATTAATATTCATTTCTAACTAATTCAGAGTCATATATATCTTAAGGCAGAAGTTTGTACATACTTTTTATCACTAACTAGTTTTATATAACACTTAAAATATAATTTATAACTGAAAGATCTGCTTATAAGAAATATTAATTATTTAAGTAACAAGATAATCATAAGCTATTTTAGAAATAGTGCCTATTATAAGTTTGAAGATTTGAATTTCTAAAATATAAAATTGTTTATATTTTTATTAAGTGTATTTAAATACTTATCAAGTATATTATAATAATTTAATATATCATCATGAGTCTGTTTAAGCTGATATCTGAAATATTTATGAACTAAAGCTATTTGATTAGATTCTATAACTTGTTGATTATATTATCTTTTTCAATAGGTAAAGCATAAATTTAATATATCATATTAATTATCTGACATATATAATATTTTTTAGTATTAGATTTATAAGTTAATAATTAAATAATAGATCAAGTAGAATAGTTTTAGGATAATAAGATTATAATTCATTTCAGTATTTATTAAGTTTTACAATGATTTTTTTGCAATATTTGATTTAATTGAATTTGATTCTTCTTGAGCTTTAATAAGAATCATAATAATTACAAAAATACCATTTGTAGATTACTAATAGTTGGATTATTTAAAAAAGAAATCAGTTTCATTGCTTTGTATATGATTCTAAAAATGTTATAATATCTACAATTTTGTTTCAATATTGATTTATTAAATACTATTATTTAGGTTGTAATATAGATACTATTAAAGTATTAGTAATTGTTTTAATTTTGCATAACTTATTTAACATTTGTTTCTATATCAAATTTAAATATGAAAAATGGCTTGCTTTTTATTTCAAATATATTTTTTAGCTTCTCTAAGTATAGCTGAGACTAATAAATATAACTTGAAACTTTCGTCATTTTATTAATTAATTCATTAAAAACTAAAAGACTATTTATAATAGCAAGATTAAGTATATGAGCTATACATCATAATCTGTAAAAAGTTGTACAGTCAACTCTTGTTATAACGAACTCTATGTCCTAGATCTCAACTTCACTATAAGATTATAGTGAATATTTTAAGAGATTTGATTGGCCAATTTGTTATAATAAGAGTATTTTTATTATATTTATTCAAAAAATTTGTTATATCAAGAGTTTGCTATATCAAGAGTTGACTGTATTACTATAACATGAATATAATATATTTATAAGTTGTTAATCATAGATATCTATATTACCAATATTATTAGCAGTTACTGATAAGACCTTTTTTCTAAACTGAAGTATTCAATTAATTCTAGAATTTTTTTCTGTAAGAAAGTATCTGTATATTATTTATGAAGTAGGATAAAGTCAAGAAGAATATATTTCAGCTGTCAATTATCATTGATCTAATGTAAAGTAACTGTAAAAAATGATTAATTTGTATATCTAGTCTATGTATCAGTTGTTAATGAAATCTCAAATAAGCTAATCAGATGTATTAGCTAAATATTACATTTAAAATAATGTAATATGATCATATAATTTTGTGATTATTTTAAATTTGAATATGATTAACATTCTTAACATAATGATTTGATAAACTAATAATATATAAACTTAATATAGAATATTAATTAAAAAATAAATATTACGCAGTTTTTGCATATATTTATTAGTAAATTTTCTTGTTTATTATTTTAATTTTTAAATAATAAAAGTACTTTATATACAAAGAATAGACTTTTTTTATATCAGCTAAAATAACTGTATTATTTCTCATATCTAATAATTTTTATTAAATAATATTCCTAATAGTTAAGTTAAAAATTTCTGGAATTCATTTTACTTTTAGAGCAATTTCTTTTAAAAACTTCATTTTCAGAACGATTTCTTTAAAGAACTTCATTTCTGAAATGATTTTCTTAAAGAACTTTACTTCTAGAGTGATTTCATTGAAGGATTTTACTTCTAGAATAATTTTCTTAAAGGACTTCACTTTTAGAATGATTTTCTTGAAGGATTTCACTTTCAGAATAATTTTCTTAAAGGACTTCATTTCTGAAATGATTTTTTTAAAGAACTTCATTTCCAGAATGATTTTCTTAAAAAACTTTACTTCTGAAGCGATTTCCTTTAAGAAAATGCTACTAGATATATTTTTCTTCAAAAAAAACATCATCAGAACTATTTTTTTTAAAAGAAAACATTACTGAGACCATTTTTTTTAAAAGAAAATATCATTAGAACTGTTTTTCTTTAAAGAAAAACTGCTTTTAAAATTATTTTCTTCAAAAAAAAAATACAAGCCAACAAGCTGAGCTGCATTACAAGCTAAATTATAGCATAAGTTAACTTATCTAATTCATAGCTTATTTTATAATAACTCAAGCTGAGCCTAAATGAGCTGGCTTATTTAGTTTGCAAGCAGTTCAGCTTATGCAGAACTCTAGATTATATAAAGATTTAATAGTAAATTAAAAAGAAATATATAATAAATAAATAAGTATATTAATTTTCTGTTATACTAAGTATCAGTTATGATTATCTTTATACTAATTTTTTATTTATTTTCTAATCTCATATAGATAGCTGGAAAATAATTAATTTTATAATAATTGTTTAAAAAATAATAATAAATAATTTGTATTAAAACTAAATAACGCACTTTATTTAAAATTTTATTTGATTAATATTTAACTATACATTATAAAAATATAATTTTTAATAAAAAATATTAATCACATTTAAAAGTAATATTAATATTAATATTATTATAATTTTCTGTAGAAATCTTTAGATTTTTGAATTTTGATATATTAAATTATTATCTGACTTATTTTTTAATAAAGTTAATATTATTATATCATTTAATTAATTCAGATGCCTTAGAAAATCCTAAAAAAAAATAGTTGGTTCTAAATAATAAAATTAAAAAATTTCAATAAATGTTTGTTTAGATACTAAATTAATTTATATAAATAGTTGAATCCTTTAATACTATATTTTTAGTAGGAATTATAAGAGAAGTATTATCTTATTTCTACTTAATAAATTAATACTAATAGATGGATACATTTAAAATTGTTAATGTATTCTGAAATTTTAAAATTATTTTTTAGTTTATAAAATAAATTGAATTATCTTAACTTATTATTTTTACTTTCTAATGTAATTAGTTTCTTTTATATATTATTTATTAATATAAAATGAAGAATGAGTTAAATTCTGTGAAATAAAAAAAAAATTTAAGAAAGAAAAAAAAGTATAGGAAAAAAATAATAACAAAAAAGTTTAAATTGCTAATTATGTATAATTACGTGTTATGTTTAATGAAGGATATGCTTCTAGAGATTACCTATTTATTTTATAGTATTAGAAATATTATGGTTTTTTTCTAAAAGAAAAAAACAATAATATTTCTAACCTTTCATGAAATAAATAATACAAGTTTATAAATTCTTATTATTAAAAAATAGGTTTTTATAAAAATTAAGTTTAAATTTTAAAAAAAGAAATATTAAAGGTTTTAAAAAAGTTTATTTATATATATTAAAATATATTAAATAAGTATTATTATCTAATATTCTTTTTTTTTTTACTTTTTAAATTTGATCTTTAATAAAAAAGAATATTAAAAGAAATAAAGCTATTTTATAAATATTATTATTATTTGAAATATATGTAATATTTAATTTTTATTATATTTAAAATTTTTTTTATAATAAATTAATTAATAAAAAAAAAATTCTAAATTTATTAGTTATTTAATAATCATATTATTAAAATTTGATCAGTCAAACTATTTTTTCTTTTATTATAAAATCTATTTATTTATATATTAAAATTTTAAATTATAAAATTATACTAGAAATTAAATATTCATATAAATAGAGCTTGAATAACCTAAAATTTAAAAGATAGTAAGAAATAAAAATAAATTTAATAATAATGTTTAATTTTGTAAATTTATAATAAAAGAATATTATATTAAAATTACTTTTAAGATAAATCTAATCTATATAATTTAAAATAATATTTTTTAACCTTAGTAAACGTTAATAACAAGTGAAAAAATATAGATCAAGGTTGTATTTATCAAATTACCAAAAATTAAAAAAAAATAAGATCAAATCAGTAATTAGCGATGAAGTATACTATGTTTATGAAATATTTACAAAACCATTTGGGCGAACAACAAAAACTTTATGTAAAGCTCGGGATTTTTTTCAAAAGGAAATGAATAATCTACTGCGCCTATGGCTCCCGTTTTAATAATTTAGAAAGGTTTGAGGGGAAGTGCAAATGGGTTATATTGGCTTCTTAGAAAAGTTATTTATATAAATTTGATTTAATATTTTTGCCACAAATGTAATAAGTTAAATCACTTTTATTTACATATGGTCTTAATGTTATAATAACTCCTAATGCCGAATTAAATAATAGGTGGTAATAGATGGTCCAAAAGAAAAAGAATTTGAGACCATTTTAACAAAGGATTAATTTATTAAACTTAAAACGTATTTTATCAATCCATGTTGTCAAAGAGATTTCAAGGTAACGGGCAAAGCGATTCCATAGAATAATCTTTTTTTTATTATTATCATTTATACTTTTGTTTTTGGTGGCTTCGCAAGCTTATGAAAAAATAATGCACCGCCATGATCGATCTTAGAAAAGCCGTTTGGAGACAATTATATTTACAAGCCAAAATTCAATTTTTTTTTAACAGCCTATTTACTAAAAGGAAGAAGAAAAAAAATCTCGGAAACTACTTGAGGCAGTGCAATGGCGGCGCAGAATTTTTATATTGATCATTAAAATAATTTACAATTTGCATAGCCACATGGTTTACTAAGATAAATAAACAAAATGTCTGAATTTGACGAAAAGATGTACCATTGAGCGATTTTAATTATTTCTTCACCAAAAATAACTATATTATAATGATTGATTTTGGAATAATGCGCAGGAGCAAAAAGATGGTACGTGAAAAGTGTAATGCTCACGTCGGATCAGAACAAATTTTGCTAAGCTAACCAAATGATTCCAATATCTAGCTCCAACGCATCAACGAATCAAAAGCAACGCAGTTCTTTGTTCTTACGTCAGTTTTGCAATCCATCATAGATACATCGTTAGAAACTCGAGTATATCTCCGTAATATGAATGCTCGCAAAGAATTGGAAAATATCGAAAGATCAAATCCATATATTTGTGACATCGATCCTTCGATAGCGAGAATGAAAAATATCACCGAAGAAAACATTATTTTTATTTCTTTTCAAATCTTTCAAGTGTGGTTTTGTTTTAACGCGGTAAGGGTTTTATAAAATTGTATACGTGCTTTATTAACGAAAAGTGTTCATTTCATTAATTGAATTCCTTTAGATCTATAATCAAAATACCATTCAGATCATTACCATCGCTGCAGTTAATTTTTGTTGTGCCTGTTTAAGCATTGTAAGTTTAAAATGAATACATGCCACGAGTCACAATTACTTATCGATTGAAACCTTAAACAATTCCTCAAAGGTTCAACTTCTTGAAGTCAAAAAATGGTACCATGATTTCGAATTGGCGTGTTCCGGCCTAAAGTTATCGGAAAGAAATCATCTCACTAATGACATACCGTTAATAATAACATTAATGGTATTTGCTACCATCATATCTTTACTAAGTTGGAAATTATATCGTCAATTTGGTTGGAATATCTATAAAAAAATCGGGGGTGACATCTCTATGCAAGGTACGTAAAAAATCCTTTTCTGATTTGATTTGTTTTGGATTTAATTGATTTTAATTAACCTGCCTTGATGTTAGCCATGTACAGAACGTACTTAATCTATGTAATGTTACTTAAGCTTGGGTTATTCTTTATATTGGGATTAGCGATAGAATCATGTTCAGTGTTCGGAATAATTTTGTCAGTCAATGATCAAGACGATAAAGATCTTCCAAAGGGATTTTATTTGGTTCATATAGGTGTAACGACTATGATTATTATAAATCAAATATTGGGATATCGTTCGGTATGTTAAAAGGGTGCTTGTGTTTATTCTTATTCACGAATTTTTTAAATTATTTTATTTATATTTATAGATTAGAAAAGAAATGAAATTGGGCATGATATTAGTATGTTCATTCTGGGTTGTTATTATTATAGATTTTTGTATACTCTTAAAGTATTCAATAGGAACTGTTGCGGACAGTTGGTACTTTTACACTGTGTTTCGTAAGTAAAAGATCTATTATAAAACTTTTGATTTTAAGATCCTAAAACTTTATCACTAATGTTGTTATTGTTTGCTAGTGTCCGTGGGAATCACACTGAGTTTGGTAAGATTTGAGATTTTTGCAAATTATTCCACATTAGTTCGACTAACATGAACCTCACTTAGCTATCGTTAATATGGTCCGTACGCGTTAAAAATAATTTTGGAAAGGGACTACAAGATCATAGTGAGTTATTATTTGAGAGGTTCCTTTGCTTTATGTTCAAACGAATTTTTTTTTTAGATCCTTTTTTCTCCCCACATAGTTGATCAAGAAATTAGAGAACCGAAAGCTGGAAATAATCCTTCCCTTAAAGACGTAAAAAAGCCCCACCAATGGGTAATTGATGATTGAACAATTAGGACCTTTTTTTTTGTTTGATTGTAATTTAGAGTTGAAACTTTTGTACAATAATTATATCATATATATTTAATTTTTTTTTTTTTTTTTTAATAAAATAAAATCAATTTTTTTTTTTTTTATCGTTAAAATTTGATCCGAGATATTTTTTCGCGCGTCAAAAATTATGTCCTAAAATGGAAACTCGAATCGTGAATAATATCCTTTAATTGATAATCATTTCTTACTTTTGAGAAAAAATTTCAATTTTTTTTTTTGGTTTTTTTTCAAATTTTTTTTTTTTTTTGATACTTAGGAAAATAAGGTAATATAATTATCTATATACATTCTTTTTAGAAATGCTTATTTTTTATTCATACGAGCAAAAAAAAAAATTTGATGTAATGGAGAATGTTTTGAAGTTTTAATAAATTTATTTAATCCTTATTCCTTCCTGATAATTAATGTTATATAGACTTTTGCTCTCTGCCATATATTATTTCATCCTTGATTAAACCATGGATATTATTAATATTATCGAAACAGAACCCATATCACGTGAACAATATTCCAATGAATTTAGTGATATTGAAATTGCTCCTACTTCAAAGTCTCAAAACGACGAAAATAGAATGGGTAATTTGTTACATGAAATGTATTTAGTTAATTTCATTTAATCATGACTTTTTATTTTTTTTTATGAATCCTAGTCTTTCCTATAGATGATGATGTGAACGATGATAATAATGATGATACCACCAATGATAAACCATATGATTCGGATGATGATAATCCACTTTTTCAAGAAATCAAACAAAAATTTAGAAAACGTAAGTTCAGCAAAATTATTCGAATGATGTAATTGATTTGCTAAGAGATTTTAATCCTTGATTATTTTATAGAAAATGTATCCGACAAACCTAAACCACTCACTTTGCCAATATTTACAAATATAAGAAATAGTTTAACCTTTGCGAAGAAAAAATATGGAAAACGTAGGAACGATGAAGATTTATCATTTATAATTTATTGAAAGTATATAATAAAACAATTTGTTATTTAGCACGTTCGTCAAGCCGACCTCGTTCTTCTAGTGGATATAGTGCGGATTCGGGGGGTAGTGAATCATCTAAGAGAATTAATCATATTACAATTGGTTAGTAAAAAAATGATTTTATTGAAAGTTTCCTTTTCTCGGGATATTAATTTAATCATTTATTTGGATAGACAATGATATTGATGATGGAAAGAATCCGTCATCTACATTTTCATCTGGTATAGGTATTCCTGTGTTTAATTACATACAGTATATTTTTTTCATTAAGTCCTAATATTTTCTTTAAATCAAAAGGTGGCCGAAATTTGTTTGATGAATTTAAATCTATTGACATTTCTGACAGTGAAGAAACGTCAACATCACAAAAGAAAAAAAGTATGTATTACTTTAATTGATGGTTAATTTTAATTTTAAAATATCTATAATTATTAATCATTTTTTTAAGATACTCGAGGAGATGATTCAGATAAACTTTACAACTTTACTTTTGATGAGGAAACCTCTAAAAATGATACAGTTGAAATATCAACCGGTAAATTTTAATGACTTGCTTAAAGTTTGTAAGTTCGGATTAATTTATCAAAAATAAAGGAAAAAAAAAAAAATAAAAATAAATTCAAGATTCGCGACGCAACGAACTGCATGATTTTGACATGTCTGATAACGACGACGACGCAAATCAACGTTCCCGTAAAAAATCAACAATAATTGGTAATTTTTTTTTTTTTATGATTTGACGTTCAAGTTTATCTATGAAGTAACATTATATTCATTGAATTTCAGTCTCTGATGAATCTGATGGTGGATTCGAAACTGATTTTTTTGATGATGAGAACAGCACAAAGAAAGATTTATTCATTAAACCGGATGGTTAGTATTGTTTCATATTATATTAATTCGACCATTATGTAAATGAATAAGATTTCAATTTATTCTACGTTACAGGTCAATTATCGGATGACGAACGGGAATCGAATTTAAACGATGTATATTCTAACCGCTCAAAAGCCCCAAAGAAATTTTCCAAGAAATCTAAATGTAAAAAATTTCATCATTAAAGTTACTGGATTCGCAGCATCGATTAACAAAGTTAACCTATTTGTTATGCTTATTTTCTCTTTTAAAAAAAAAAAGTAAATTCGTTAAGTTACCTTTCCGACGCGTCCGAGGAGTCCGAAGATGAAGACTATTGCCCAATAATGTCTATAAATAATGAAGATAAACAAAAAGGTGAAGTCGGAAAATTTATTATAACAATTAATTGTTTACATTTACTAAAGTTCAATGAATATAATAGAAAATTCAAAAAAAAAGGAATCATTCTATCTCGACACCGATGAAGATGAGCCTAGCGAGAAAGAAAAAAAGTCGAAATATGATGGTATGAAAGTTTAAATTTTATAATGGTTGAATAGATATATATTTTTTTTATTATAATTTTTCAAATGATTAATGAGCGTAAACCTTGAAGATAATTCGCCAAGATTACTTTCTACCAAAAAACCTTTAGGTTCATATCGTTTCTTATTTTCGTTCCTTTTTTGGGATAAGACGGCCTATGATTAATGTTGTGTTATTTATTGTTACAAAGGCTCGAATATAGACGAGCCGAATACGGAGAATCCGATGAATATTGGCGGTGCTTTTGATGAATCTATTTTAGATGATGACTTAAGTTTAGATGATTATATTGCTGTAGATAAGCCAACATATTCATCAAAAAAGAAGCAAAGTCAAAGACAGATAATAATTCACGAAGAATCGAGCAGTAAAAAAAAAAATCTCTATACTTTGCTATTGATGCTTAATAAATGAAATTTAAATATTAACATTACTGTATTAAATTATTAGATATTACCGAACTTCAACCTCCTTTTCAACCAGGATCCTCGCCAATGAAAAATGGTCGTCGATATTTAGGTATTTAAGCATTTAATTGTTCCATGCTTTTTATTATTTAAATAATTGATTTCTAAAATTTACTTGATTTTTTAAGCTATAAATTGGCTTGGTAGCATTCATGCGGTAGATAATACTACTTATCATTCAATAACTGTCGAATATAATAACAAAACACTTTACAAAGGATACACCTTTCGCGATGAAGTTGGCTATACTATGGCTTGCCTCGGTACTAATTTATTTGTAATATGTATCATTCCTTTCATGATAAGAAACATCAGGCTAATGTTAATTTATTAAAGGCACACAGGGAGTGCTCTTTGCCGTAGAATCTGACTCAGAGAATCCAAGTGTTTTGTATTATAAACCAAATCAAAGCTGGTCCCAAAAGAGTGATTGGATGACAACACTTCATCATGGTGAAGATATTACAGGTAAAGATCGATTAAACATCCATTTTATAATATATGATATTAAATTTATTTTCCATTTATTACATATAGCTATTGCTTTAAGTGAACAGGCAGTTGTCGTAGCAACATCTAAAAATTATTTGAGATTCTTCTCTCCTTTTGGTTTTCAAAATTACATATTCTCTTTTCCCTCTATCGTCTGCATGGCTGCATATAATAATCTTCTTTTGATCGCTCATCATTCAAGTGTTGCTTATAAAGGTATATTTTGATTTTTTTGATTGTATTTGATATTTGTATTCTCCGATTAATACTAGTATTTAACTTTGTATGTAGGTTCACAAAATCTTGGATACGTTTTGTATGATATGCATGAACGCGGTGATGTACAAAAGGATGTTTTACCGATATCTAAAGAATCTACCTTGAGATGGTTGGGCTTTTCGGAAGAAGGGGTAAACCATAATGTTAATTTATTATTAAAGTGGTTAATTACATCGAAGCTTTATTATTTACGTACTATGATTTTAACGTAACTATTTAGATGCCAGTAATGTTTGACTCTAAAGGTATCCTTTTTGTCCTTCACGATCATCGAATATACAAACAAGCAAGATGGGTGCCTATATTAGATACTGCCAACATCGTAAATGATCCTACTAAGCCTGATATAGACAAATCAAAGAAGAGTTCGGATGTTCTTAATATTTTTGATGACACCTCTAAGACGGATATCTCTGAGAACAAAAACGAAAAGGATGATGAAAAAGATTATGAGGAAAGAGATAAAGAGAAAGAGAAAGAATGGATATATTGGCCAGTTGCGGTCATTGAATCTAAATTAGTTTGTTTTATTCTGAAGGTAGTTATCAAATAAGTTTAGTTTCGTGATTAATCAATTATTTCTTGTGCTTTTAATTTCAAACTTACGTTAAATTTTTTTTTTTTTTTTTTGAAGTACGGTGAAGACGTGCCCCGTTATCCTCGACCTACATACGACGAAGTTAATTGGCAAATGCCACTCTTACATCTTGATAAAGTGAGTGGACGTTGTGAAGAAAGGTTAGCTTAATTATTAGTTCTTTGTTCATGGCGGATTTTGTAGTAATTTCAATAAACAAAAAAAAAAAAAATCTTACATGATGTATTGACATAGATGGATACGCGAGTCTATCCTATCGAGCTTTGAATACCAAGAAGCCAATGCAAAGGATGAATTGAGTGTCGTTAAAATTACGGAACTAAGGAAGAAAGAAAGAGATACTAAAAAGATCATAATCGAATTAATCCAGGCTAGTATCTAAATTTCATTTAAAAAGCTTTTTAACGGTTTTTAAGTTTTAAGCATTTGATTAAATTTGCTTGAAATAAAATATAGATAGCTGTTACTGAAGAAAGATATGAACGTGCTTTGGAATTAGCGAAGTTGCTAGATTCGAGAAAATTTTTGGAATCTGCATTACAAATTGCAATCTTTTATAATGTTACAAGTTTAGCTGAAAAAATCCATCAACTGCAATCAGTAAGTTGATCTTTTATTTGAGTAAAAAGAATCATCAATAAAAAAGTATACATTATTAATCGCTTATATATTATTATAATCTTGAAAAGGAAAAAGAAAAGTCAAAAACAAAAGAAAGAGAAGCTATATTAAATAGATCGATGTCGTATTCGAAAACAAAGTAAGTAAATTTAAAAGTTAAAAGAATCTATTATTGATAAAACCAGAAATATTTTCAATATCATATATATTTTTCTTTTTTGTTGGGTTCAAGTGATTCGATACTCTTATCTGACCTTAATCATAGTTCGACTAATTTGAGTAGGTCTTCACCAAACCGCGAAGATTCACCAACCAATCCATTAAAACGAAGCGTAAAAGATATGAATGATGGAATACAGGAAGTCGATGAAAATTCACCAAAACCCAAGAAACCGGCAGTACCTATAAGTTCCTTTTTTAAGAGAAAATCGCTCACTTAATTGAAATTGTTTAATTTTAAATCTAGAATTAGATATTTTTTTATATTTTAAAAATTTGAATCGAAACATCATCCTTCGTCATGTGATAAAATTATATATAAATCACGCATTCCATAGAATCATCCTTTTTTTTTTTAGTGTTAGTAATGAAACCATTTTCTTTTAAGTTCACCCATTCCTTGTTATCATTAAATCCGCCAAGCAAAATAAAGATTGAGCAAATAATCGAAAGTTGAAAGGATGTTTTGTTTAGTCATAAATTTTTTATTTTAAATTTCATAGTGTAGAAATTAAATCAAAGTTATTTTTTTTTTTTTTTAAAAAAAAAATATATATATATATTATTTTCAATTTTGGGATAAATTGTTCTCAATGTGTAATTTGAAATTGAAACGCGTTTACTGCGCCTATATTAAAACTAATAAAACTCCACATTAAGTAAAGTTTAAATTGGGTTATAACAAGTCTCGTTAGGGAATATTCACCTAAACTGACTCCTCTTTTGTAAGATATTGAAGAAGAATCATTGATATCTCTGTCAAGATTTGTGTTGCATTAAGGACAGCAAAACACCTTGGATATATTCTTCTGACATCACAGATGCTCACGTGCCTTATGGATCAGATGCTGTTGGGTAGTGAATGACAATCATCTACGAGGCAGCGGATCCTCTTATGAATTTGTAACATAATTTTTTTCATGAATACAATCATTTTTTCTATTAAGTTGACATAGTCGATAAATTTGACTAATGTCATTTTTCCCACCCAATAGCAATTTTACTTTTTTCATAACAAGTTATAAAAGTACGTATAGATGGATCCAAAGTTCTTACCTTTTTTTTTTAATAATTTAATAAAGATTTAAATAAATAGAAAACCTTTTGTATTACTGAAAATAAAAGACCTTAGTTTTTTTGGACTATTTCAAGTTGGTTAGGTATACAAAGGTAAAATTGACCAAGGCGATTTAATACAAGGCGACTATCGTATTCATTGAAAAGTTTCTGCTGATTTAATTTTATGAAGAAACGCGTATTTTCTACGAGATTTGCTCGTGTTTAGAGTGTGTATTACAATAGATGTTGACCTTTTTTAGAATGACATTTCATTTTAAAATTTTTATGAATTGCAATAAAATTGAAAGCATATTCTTTAAGCAAATTATCCATAGCTTCATTTTATTAAAAAAAGTGGAAAAAAATAAAGTGATTCGATCAAGAAAATTTCAGTACCATGAGACTTTAAAATCTATATTAATATGCTTTATCATGTCATTAATTCAAACTTCTAATCGTAATAATTCTAAGAAAAAAAGGAATTGTAATAATTCATTTAGCGCAATGAAGTAAACTTAATGAAATAGAATGTTCATCTTCTTCAAGTACAGGTAATCAAGCAGTATTCCGGATCTGGTAAAAACTTCGATGAAGGATATTTTTGAGACTAATTTCTTCAAACACGGGTCATGTTTAGAATCATCGTCGCAATGTTTCAACTGAGACGTCATACGTCTTTTTGAATTATGCTTGCATTTTGGTTGGTGTAATCTGTTTAGGAATATGAGTTACAGTATTATAAGTTATTTTTCCTTAATATTCGATATAACATGCGGAGGTCCACACAAATTCGGAATGTTCGAAATTGACACAACGATTTTAAAACTTTAAATATGGGCAGCAATAATAAAACAAATGGCTGAATGAATTATATAAGATGTTTGCCATTACAATCATGTTCGGATCATATGATCAGCTGTCTCGTAAATATAACAAATGACCATAAAAGTCTGCATGCGTTTATAGTTACAATATGATTTTGACAATCTAACTAAGCACAAATTTACTAACAACAAATGTAAAGTCAAGGAAGGTGGATACAATTATATGAAAGAAAATCAAAACATAGATAGAAACGTCGGTGCTTAAACGTTCTCATTAAAATAATCTATTAATTTCAAATGAATTTGCTAATTCTTGCGTTTGAAAATATTTAACTCCAAAAGTATCTAGAATGTTGAAAATTGATGTTGATGTACTGTACATTTATTGAACATACAAAAATCATTATATCCATTTTTTTTTTTTATGTAAGATGTTATTGTTAAAGAATATTTAAATGGAAGTTTGCCATTAAAATCACGTTACGAATCATATGATTTACTATGTTCGCAAATAGACCCTTACCACATTTCGATATAAACTTGTACCCAATCCATGTATTTATGCCGATTATAAAGTACGTCCTAGTCCAACAAGTTTTCATGTATTAATGGGCACTCGTATCACACGATTCGAAATTATATAGTATAACATATATAAGATTTATAAATATAATTTTCTTCAAACAGCTCTTGTATATTAAGACTAGAAAGTCTAGAAATACAATTGATTTGTTAGCTATAAAATGATATAAAATTCAGAGATAATTAAACTAAAAAAAAATATTATTATAGCTTAAAATTTATATTTATTTATATTACTTGTTATAAGATTTTGATCGTGCGTACTTTGTTATGCGACTGTACGCTTATAAAAATGGAAAGTTATATAAAAAACTTTTAATATTCGATTTACATGAAATCAAAGATGTCTAATAAAAAGCAAACTATCTTCGTCATTAACTATAAAATTCAAGAATGATAAATCACTAAATTTACTTCAGTCATAAAAGAAACGAAACATCAATAAGACCTGAATAATCCGGGTAAAACGGATCATTTTTAATGGTTGACACTTTTTTCTTGATGAACTTTATTAATTAATTATTAATAAATATGTTTATTTAATATTTACTAACAATATTAACAAGGTTCGATACCAAATTATAAAGCTTTCTTCTATAAAATAAGTTATTATTATTAACCACCAAAATGAATAAATATTAGATTCCAAATTCAATAACTATTATATTTGGAAAATCAGATTTTGATTGGTTGATTTGGGGCTCCGCAGGAGCCCCGAATCACAAATCAAATTTGATTCCCAATATTATTAGCTACCTTATAGGTAACGGTAGTTATTCGGCTCGAAGTGCCGGATAAGTGATTTATCCGGTGTTCCGTGATTAAGCTATTGTTTACTATTTTTTAACAAAACCTCCTCAGGTATATCACATATAATAGCGCCTTTTTTTGTTTTTCCATTAGGATGTTTAAAGGTTTCTGATAAGTTTATACCGTTCTATAGCTCTAAACATTCAGGACGTGATACAGCAATTCAATCAATGTTTGATGCTGGAATGAAGAAGTTGAAACAATCTTAAAATAACAAATGAAAATTCATCCACCGTACCCTGAGGTATTTCCAAAGCATTCGTGATGGCTTGTTGTTCGGCAGGAGTATTTTTACATTTTTATTATAACGATATTAATTTTATATTACATTTAATTGCCCGAAGCGTAAGCGTAGGACACTTCCATTCTACTGCAAACCATGCATGTGTTGTCTGTCCGCACGCGTGATATGGCCAATCAGAAACTGGATCAGGTGTAACGTATTGAAGTGTGTATTTTGTTTACATAATACTTTTCTTATTGATGAAACGCTTCGGACGCTCTAACGGTTCCCGTTATCTAGTTTAAATTGTATAGTCATCCAATGGTTTTAGTAAGGTTTCGCAATTATTAAATAAAAAAAATAAAAACCATTGCAAGAAAATTCTTCTGAATTAAATATAAATAAAAGAAAAAAAGAAGGAAAAATAAATAAACGATTTATTATAGTCATTATTAATTATAAAAAATCACGGGATACCGGATAAATATGTAAACATCAGGAATATTGATTATTAACTTTTGAATAATAATATTATGTGTGATTCAATCTTTTATATAAGCATTATAATGTGATAAATGTTGGATCACTTGTGTACATTTTATAGTTAAACCTCTATAGTTCTATGCCAAGTGACACATAATGTCTGATAAATTTTATCGTATTTTCACGTTCTGCATATCAATTTATGTGGATCAATCAAATTTTGTCCAACATATCAATTTTTTGATTTAATGTCGATCAATGTAAAAATATCGCGTCCGCATTAAATAAATTTTATTTACATTTTACTGAAAAGGTGAACAATAGATAAACTTTATAAATTAATTGATACATGAAAAACTTTATTATAAATAATCAAGGATGTCTTTTAATTCTAGTGAATTGTCTAGTTCCTTCTTTTGAAAATATCTATACTCAAAGGCTTCGGGAACATCTGGTTGGAATTTATATAGTGGTAAAAATGGTTGTACGCTAGGAACATAATTCTGGTCTCTTTCAATAGATATGAATCGAACATAATCTATTTTCTATAAATATTTAAAATTATAAATAATTAAATTTTTTTTTTTTTCATATTACAACAATCTCATGATTAAAATAATATAATGAAATCCATACCATATCAATAAACCCATGTTTTATTTCAATTGAAGGTTTCACCCATGTAAATTGTAATGTAAATGGCAAACTGTATTCAATCCAACCCAATCCAATAAGTTTTGATAAATCTTCATATGTTAAGGTATGCTTATGCGGCAAATGATCCTATCATCAAAATAACGAAACGTTAACGATATTTTAATTACATAAAATCAATCATAGTAAGAAAACTTACATCATCTTTAATTATAAAATTCAAAGAACAATCTTTAGACGATACATCATTAATGCATATTCTCCAAACGATATAAAAACCCCAATAAGGCTTCAATAAATTAGGTAAAACCATAATTAGCGGCTCATTTTTAACGTGTAACACTTTTCTTGATAAACTTTATTAATGAATCATAGTCAATGGTTAATATAATATCACATAAACACGCATTGAGGATGATAAAATATTATATTTTTACCTTTTGTTATTAACTTCTTGAATATAATGAAAATATTTACTATCAATATTGACAAGATTTGATACAAAATAAACTCCTATTACTATAAAAAAAAAAGAAAAGAAAAATGTTAATTGATTTTTAATATTAATAAGAAAAATAATAATTAAAAATTTTCATACCGAAATGCATATAAATATAAAATTTTTCAACAATTCCAAGACCGATAAATTTATTATCAAGATTATAATAGCTGCATAAATACTTCAGGAAACCAGAATGTCTTCGTAAAAAATAAAGGAACTGAATATCTTGACGATTCAAGTCAAACAATCTATTCAAATTTTCTAATGCTTTATCATACATTTTCAATTTGATATATATGTTACATTTTATAAAACATTTAATCTGATCGTTAATTTTAGTAAAACGATCAATTTTTGCGATGATTTTGACAACCTTATGACTTAATTTTTTATAAGCACGATAATGTAACATAAATTTCATAAATATTAAATGTATCTTTGCCAAATCATCATTGGGACTTAATTGTATACATTTTTTAAAATCCAAAATTGAAGTGCTAACGTTATCCATTATATAAAAAATTAATCCTCTATAATAATATGCCAAACTATATAACGAGTCTAATTGTAAAATTCTATTGATATCTATCAACGCATCATCGTATTTTTCAAGTATAAGATATGTTATGGCTCTCTTGATTAAATTATGAACATTTTCTGGATCAATTTTATTTGCTTTGGTAAAATATGATATTGCCTCATTGTACTTTTTCAAACTTAGTAAAATTTCACCATAATAACATAAAATTAAAGAATCTTTCCGATTAATAGTTAATAATTTATCTAAGATTTCTAAAGCTTTTTGATGATCTTCTTGCTTTCGATAGATAAAAGCACAATTCTTTAAACTCAAATAATGGTTGGAATCCTTTTTTAAGACAACGTTAAAATTGTTTAAAGCGTGATTATAACAATCCTTATAACTTATTCCAAAAATATAACTACTGCCAAGTATTATATTTAAATTATTCATCTTTATCTTGTAATCTATTGATTTTAATATAAACTCTATTGCCATACTATAATTCCTTTGTCTATAATAAATCTCTCCATTGATATAGTAAGCGATCGGATTTTTTGGTTTGATGTCGATAGCCTCATTGAGATATACGTGCGCCTGTTCATAATTATACAAGCATCTGTAAATGTACCCTAAAATACATCTTATGCAATAATGTTTTGGAAATTTTTTCAGAAATTCTTTACACCAATATATAGCTCTCTCATAATTCTTTCCTGTCAACTCCTTCATAGCATTTTGATATGTTGTATGTTGTTTTTTTGAACTTCTATTTGGCATTATCGCTTGGAATAACGTATTTGAATTTGATTTCGTTGTTCTGATGAGGTTCTTTTCTTTGATTAATTCAAATTCAATCTCTGATAAATTGTCCGAGTCGGAATCACTTTCGTCCGAATCTTCAAAGTCAATGGAAGGTAAATTAGATGAAATATGTCCGGGCTTGGAAAACTGCGCACTTACATTTTTATAGATGGTATTTTGTGATAAATGTCTAATCTTGTTATTCTCAATATATAATCGACATTGTGGACACTTTGCTTGTTTTAAATCTTTCAAATTGTTTAATGATATCATATGTTGACATTCCAAGAGAATTATTTGATCAGTCGGTACATCGCTTATTTCATCATAAGAATTATTTCTCCTTCCTTTTTTCCCTTCAGTAGTAATCTCAACATCCTTTAAATACCTTTTCTTAATGAATTCTAATAAAACTTTAAACTTTGCGGAAGAATTAATTAAGAAATTATTCTCACGTAACTCTCGTGCGTATTGATCTAAATCTATATCTAACATTGTAAACAATTCACTATTAATATCATGTAGGTACAATAATATTTCAATTGCCTTAAATTGAATAAACCTGCTTGGAGCTTTATTGAGGGATTCAATTGCTAAATAATAACACTGGTTATACGTACTCGACTTGGATGATTGTTGAACGAGATTATGTACAAGGTCTAATAATCCAAACCATAGAGAATGTGGTAACGCAGGAGATTCATTTCCAGGAAGATTATTAAAAAATCTTCCAGTATCTCTTAACTTCTCGATTTGTCTATTTGATTCCTCATCAAATTTAGAATCTATGATCGGTTTATCAGCAACTTTAATCCATTCTCTTTCCAAATAAGCCTTAATGTATTCTATCAAAATCATTTCACCATGCCTTTTACTAAGAATCTTTTCTGAACCTTCAGACCATTTGATGAAATTACGTTTAATGATCATCATAATCCTCCAATCTACATAATAAGATGCTACCGGATACTTAAAACTTAATGATCGGCGCAGTTGGGTGAGCGTTGATAAAATTGAACCATTACCATTCGGAATCGAAGCGGAAGGTGCCACAATTGATACAATTCCCGGTGTAATTTTTAAGGAAGCTTTAAGTAAATCTTTTGTTCCTCGTAAAACTTCTTGAAACCAAGTTTCATTTTCACGCAAGCTATGGAGCGTGTCTCGTAATTGAATCAACAAAAAGTCAATATTATAATTTCGCTTTTTGACGATCCTTTCATCTTGTTTATTGAATTGATAAAATTCGGATTTAAAGATGTTTTCGATTCCTTCTCCCACTATATGCGCCGTCTTTCTATGGATTTCTACAAAGTCCTTCAAAGTATTATAGATTTTGTTTTGAAGTTCTTTGGTAAGGCATATTTGGGAAAAACATATCCTTTCTAGTATTGCTATCCATGTGCGTAAGTGTAATTCCAACCTAGATGTACCCTCTTTTGTATAATGTAATTTAAATGAAACTGGATCGGCTAAGGCGACTAGCGAATTTATTAATATTTGATTCGAAAATTCATTTTGCAAATCTTCAAAAAGTAACCTTAGAGCGTATAGAGATTTCGTATCGTTCAATTCTTTAACAAGTTCTTGGGCCTTTTCATCCGGTGTAACGAATCCATTCTCCTCCAATCTAATTAACACATGATTTTCTTTAATATTATTATTCATTATTTCAAATTCTAATGTGTTTTTATAAAATAAAAGTCAATATTTTGTATGTTGTTTACAACGAAACTTAAAAATCTTTTTAAAATGAAATGCTTAATAACGAAATTCGTGGTTCGAATTTCTTTTTTTCGAAAATGCAAATGAAAATGAAACTGGAAAAAAAAAAAATTAATAAAAAATAAACAATACTGCAAATTTGAAACACTTCATTCAGCCCAAATTTCCGTTATGTAACGTATGTTTTAATCGAGGTGCTTGAATAATTACTTGCCATGCATAATGCAGCGTTTTGGATTGGGAAATGATGATCGTAATGTTTATTTCTCTTCAATCGGATTTAACTGCTATTTCACTTTTTTTTTCCAACTATATATTAATTTTTTTTTTTGTTTTATTATTTTTAGAAACTGTACAAATTAAATCGTAACGGACTTTTTTTTTTTTTTTTTTTTAGAATCTCGATATCGCATTTTTTTTTTTTTTTTTTTTGGAGCGTTTCACGAAGTGAACACATTAAACTGCATTATGATCGGAGTTTATGTCACGTGAACAAATTGTTAACATGCAAAAAAATGGAAGTATTTATCTTTCAATACTTTTGAGACTTTTTAACTCGTGATTTTCACGCAATCAATGCTATGATTCCTAATCGGTTTTATCAGAATTGGTAAATTATTATTAGCGTAACGAGCTTCAGTGGTATTAAATAACCACAAAAAAAAAAAATTTTTTTTTTTTGAATCAAGGAAAATTCTCATTTTCAAACACCTTTTAAAAATTATCAGTTAAACCCTTGCTTTTCTACATTTTACGTAACAAATTAGTAATGCTTTATATCATTTATTTGCAATTATCGTAGTGTTACATTTATTAATAATATAATTTCGCCCAAAGAATGATTTCCATCCATAAATTATCTTCGCTATAGGAGTTGAAATTTTGAAATTTTATTTCTAATAATCTACGAACTTAACTATTTACCATTAAAGTTGATACCGTGTCACAAATAAATCATTTTCTGAAATAAATTGTATTGTGAGAATAATTTATTTGGTCCAGAATGGCTACACTAAGTATTCACTACGAATTTTGAATTATTTTCTGGTATTAATTAATTATCTAATTAAATTTCTGCAAAAAACTGTTACATTTTTTTTTTTTTTTTTTTTTGAGGGTACAAAATTTTTTCAACTGATATCCATAAAGTTATGATACTTTACTTTCCCGATACTTTTAGCAATGTCTTAATCTTAGTCAAACAATTGAGTTTTCTAGAATTGTCCCATATGGAAGGTTTGCTATTAAAATCGAAGTTACGAACAGAGTAAATCATATGATCCGTAACGTGATTTTAATAGCAAGTATTTTGCCGTAATATGTATGATTTCTTGATGCTTTGTAAATTTACGGTTCCATAATTTTTTTACAAGGTATTACGGCCGAAATACGCAATTAAACAATTACAAATTATTAAAATTATAATAAAAAACTATCATACAAATTAAAAATCTTCAAACCAAGGAAATAAACTTTGAATTTTAATGAGTTGATAAGTAAAATTTCATGGCTCTTGACTTAAGAAACATTCAAATAAATTGTTTGATTTTATTTACTCATAAATTATTAACAGATACCAATAGAATTTTACTCCAATTGATTAGAAAAAATTTTCTTAAAGCATAAAAAAACATTATCAAGTTTGGCTTTCAAAACTCGGCTTCGTTACAGTTCTTACCGCAGTAAAATTTGAAAAGTCTCGTCAGAAATATTGTTGGTAAATAATTTTCTTCTTTTTAAGGGGTCAAATTTCCTTTTTTATTTTATGATATTTAAAACTTTACACTAGACAGTAGTAACTTCGATAAGATTCCTGTTATAAAGTTTAAGGCAGCCTTAAAGAAGTCTCATACCCTTCTTAATATTCTTTAATTATTGAAACAAAGTTTCATCATCACGCAAGCTATTCAAAGTGTCTCGTAAATGGGTCAGTAAAAAGTTATCGTCATAAATTTCGCTTTTTAACAATTTTTACATATTCATCACTTATATTCTATTCCTTCTCCCAATAAGTTCGTTGTCTTTCTATATCTCGAGTTTTCAGATATATTTTTTTATTGTAAACTCCTTTCTACTCTTTCTTGCTCGAAAAACTTTTTATTCAATAAATATTGCTAACATTTTGATAACGTATATACAACAAAAGTTTTTTTTCTTCAAGACAAATTCATTAAAATTCATGTAACAAACATAACTTGTTAATTAAAGTATCAGTTTAAACGAGGCTCGTTTGGTAATATATCTTTATATATACTTACCATATATTTAGTTTAAATTTTTATTTTAAAAAATTTTATCATTATGTTGCAAAGTGCATTGTGTAATAAATAGGTTGAATATTTATTTATTACAGCAATGGAAATCAATCTTCTATTTTTTCGCTAGGAATTTTCCTTTCAGTTCAAATTCCGAAGATCATTGCCTGAAATAAATCTGTTCTTTTTGGAATTCTTTTTCGAATTCGGAACTTCCATTGAGAATTTGCGACATCTTAAAGAACATAAAGTATAAATATGTGCGGTTCTTGAATGCCTGAAACGAATCTTTCAAAATAATCATGAATCAATATCAGTCAATTAATTATAAAATTAATTTGATAAATGACACATCAAGTCAGCAAATACAACCCGTGGCTAAGTATAAATTTGAGAAATGCATTAAATGTAAAAAAAGAAGAAAACCTTCTGAAGAGAACTATAAACTTTGCCGTAGTTGTTATAGAGCAAATTTAACCTTTAATCCAATCGGAATTGGAAATAAGGATATTGATGATTTTATAAGGTTTTCACAAATTAATGATGTTTTTCGAAGCAAAATGGAGATTATTTCATATGATAGCATCAAAAATGTAGAATTTATTGGTGAGGGAGGATTTAGTAAAGTTTATAAAGCTACTTGGATTGATGGTCCAATTTATCGGTGGAATGACCAAAAAAAAAAAATATGAACGAGAAGCTAATAAACAAGTTGCTCTTAAGAAACTTAACAATTCTAATAATTTTACTTCTAAGGAGTTAAATGAGGTATATGTTCATTTGTTTTGTTTATTTATTAAAATTATCTTAATGCGCTAATTTAATGATCTTTTTTCAGATTAAAATTTCTTATAAATTAAGAGCAGCCAATTGTCGTATTATTGAGTATTATGGAATAACGCAAGATCCTAATACCAAAGATTTTGTGATGATTATGAATTATTATAATGAAGGAGATTTGATTCGTTATATAGCCGAAAATTTTTTAGTCTTAGTTGGTGCGATAAGTTAAATCATTTATGCATTATTGCAGCTGGTCTTAAAGAAATCCATAGAAAGAGAATTATCCATCGTGATTTACATAGTGGAAATATCTTGGTAGCAGAAAAAAAGAAATATGGCAAAGTTATTAAAATATGTGATTTAGGATTAAGTAAATCTGCTATTGAAGCTGAAGATAATGAAACTTATGGAATTATTCCATATGTGGCTCCAGAGATTCTTCAAGGACAAAAATATACCACGGCTTCAGATATTTATAGTTTTGGTATGATTATGTGGGAGTTGATGACAGGTAGAAGACCTTTTTGGGATCGTGCTCATGATACTGAACTGGTTATTGATATTTGTGATGG